GGGACGTTTGCAAACAGCGAGCAGTATACCACTCTGTGGTCACTCCCCAGGAACTCTAGGCCTACAGATGCACGTATGTTGGATATACACAGTGTAAATATCAGGTCTAACAGGTGTTTAGACCTGGTCTGCGTTGATACATGCTGCACCCATCCTCCCAAGTTGATGCAGGCTAATAGCCCACTATACTTCGCTGGGGCAGTGGGTGGAAACCACTGGATTTCAGGAAGATTGAAGTCGCCTGCCACAAGCTTACATGCACATGGATGGCTCGCAGCTAGCTCAAAAGTAGTTATTTGCGCTTTGTCACTGACAGGCGATGTATCAGGAGCCCTGTAAATGCATCCAAGTAGTAACTTGGGTCCCATGGCATCAACCGTTATCCATATAGAGTCCAATATTTCGGTGTTATCTAGGACTTCGATACTAGCAGAGAAATATTGCTTCAGATAAAGAGCACACCCTCCACCTCGTTTGTGTGTACGCGAATGTGTATACAGCTGGTAGCCTTGAATGAAAAAGGAATCATCGAACGTAAAGGCACCAAACCATGTTTCCGTGACTAGTATTGCATCAGGCGCAGCAAGAATAGCCAAAGGGCGTAGAATATGCATCTTGCTGGTCAGCGACCTGGCATTTATGAGTATAATGGAGAAAAGTTGGCCAGTGTCTCCCAGTTTTATGGATGACATAAAGGGAGCACGATGAGCTACTGGGCCATCTGTATAAGCTGTAGGAACTGGGTCAAAAGAAGTAAGAGCGTGCTTTTCGTTGGTGACGTATTGGGTGTCGGGATGAGCTTGTCGCATCTCATCCCTACCTGGGATAAAAAAGGCGCGTGATGTGGTGAAGAAAGAAGGGAATTTGCCCGCTCAGGTAGTTGTTGTGGCGGTAACAACCGGTGTGATAAGGTAGGTACTCCAGAGTCCGGACTATCTGGAACATGGTGAGAAGAACCTTGAATAATATTGGGTGATGTACTAGCTGCGGAAGTCCGGTGTGTGGATATGGGACGTGTGATTGTTTCTCTGTTACCGCGGGCTATTTTCATTACCGCTAGCTTTCGCGGTTTGAGAAAAAGTTGATCCATCATGGTTGCACTGCGTAGTTGTTCAAACTTGATTATGACGGTATTTAAAGTTGCTTCATCCTTAAAATATATTTTGATCGGTGCAGGGGATTTACTGCTTCTTTTAGGTAGTCTCTCAACACGTACCGAACGTGTTGCGAAACCAAATACTGCAAGGATAACTCCCGTAAACGCATCCAAAGAAAGATCCTCGGGTACGTTAAATACCTGGGTAGTATACGGCCAAATACCCCTTCGGATGTCAGCTGGGGGGATGCCTCACACTGCTGTTTCATGAGTGTGTGAGGTTTGGGTAGCTGCCTTCGGTGATTTTTTCGGAGTCATCCTTACGCGGGGCCGTTTGGCTCTGGATGCTATCGCCGCTTAAGGTGGAAATTTTGGTTCAAGCTCACGTGTGTGTGGCTTCTGAGACGAGAATAGAACGGGAACCTGTTGATCACTATGGGTGTGAGAGACCCGATCTCCAGGCTCGAAGTGTGATGGGCCCCCACGTCGGTTCACCCACAGTGGCCCAAAATATAGCTGTTTCAGCTCTGCTCTATTACGCAGCTCTTCACAACTTGTCATTATACTTTGGAGAGTTGATTCGTCCCTAGTACTTAGTTCGAGTGGTGCCGCGAATTTACTTATTCTTTTTTCAGTCGCACAAACTCTAGTAGGTTTCTTTGGATTCCATTGACCTCAAGAATCCAGCTCCTGAACAATTCCAAGGATGTGTCATCAGGAACGTCAAAAGCAATAGTACTAAACGTAGTATTTCTTCCTTTGGTACCCGGGTGCATTGCGACTTCCGGCTTCGCTGTTTCTGACGCAGAAATGAATGGTATGGCCGTAGCAGGCGAGCAGTATGATGTATTTTGCTCGCGAGGCCGTTTGGTTGGAGGAGCTGGCGTGTGTCGGTTCCAGACAGGTGACATACTAGATGCTCGCCGACCAAATTGGGGTACTTCGGGTGGCAAGGCGCAGCTTGCTGCGTTTATCGTCTCTGAGAATGATGCCTCTTCGACTTGCCGTCCTGGTCCATTGGGATGATCTGTACAACCGAGTGGAAACTTGGATGTAGGCGAACAAGTCCCGGGTTTCTTCTCAGGACAACTACTTATCGTCCAAAGTCGCTTGGGTCATGGGTATCCATAACCTCCAATTTTAGCATTTCTGCCGCCGAGCAACGGGTTTGTACCATTTGCTTGATCTCACCCTGAGTTACATCCTCTGAGACATCTAGATCAACGATGTGGGAGGCCACCGGATAGACAAAATCCTGCAGAGGATCAGAAGATATTCCAGGAGTCCACTCATTAGTAGTAGGCTTGGAAGCAGAAAGTCTTTCGTAACGGCCCTTGTATGGCTGTCTTTGCGTTCGCTAATTTTAACTGGACAAAGGTTGTGCGCGACCGGAAGTCTTTTTGGTATGACGAGGATTAACGGGCCAAACGCTCTGCATCAAACCTGAATAGCATGGGACATTGCTTTTTAATAGCCCTGTTCCTCAGTCTGGTGCAACTGAGTAAATTACCTTCTAGACCGCAGATATCCATCAGTACCTTCTTGATGGTGTGAACTATTAAACGGTCAGGTACATTATAGACCACTACCTCCGTGAGGCATTTTATCCGGTCCATGACCTCAGTACTAATAGCATTGAGGAAACGCATGGAAGTCTCGCAGCACTTTTCATCCATTACATTAGCAACCGCAATGGGAATCATGAAGCATGGATAGGAAATATTCAACAGGAGCAAGCTCAATCGAACAATGGCATATCAAAGGCAATAGGCGAGCGAAACCTCGGTGAGGATGCCGATGTGCACTACGCGCACACTCACCCTGATTCGAATCGCTACACCCATCACACGCGGACCTTTCAATCTTGCGCTCAGTGAGCATATGACACCCCGAACCACATTGCGGTCCACAAGCTCTCCACGTCCCTCCGGTGTCACTAGCCCAACTTCCATGCCAGCTGATCATCTACAGCGGTATTTGTGAGCTACTTCATGTCATTATTCCCAAGGGCCAATTAATTCGCACTAATGCACGTGGGTGCCTCGGGCAGCTTAACGATGAAATGCGCGGACACACCGCGCAATCATATTTCAGGTATAAGTGGAAATGCTTGAAAGGTAAAGTGCCAAACACCATGATCACTCGTGACTGCTAAGCCCAGATGGCACGACGTGAGTTTTGCGAGTATACCCCCGAGCATGTGTGTAGCCAATCAAGCCTGAATATGAGTCTCGAGCGCGACTGGACACCCACCAAATCGCACGCGACCTGCGCCACCCCCAAACTTCTCTGGTAACTCATGTCGTAAACTAGCCTGATATGCCATTGGTTGTGTTGGCATTGGTCACCCAACGAGTGGGGCGCTTTGGTGCGTTCGCGCCAGGTGGCTGATATTTGACTGCGTAAAGGAAAGTTCTGAAAGATGTTTGGACGAAACCCATTTCCTTAAATATAAATATAAATATAGGTGTATTTCTAGACAAGCGCTAGATGCTGTTCCTGCGCGGGATCAGATCAAATTTTACATAACAGCCATGCTCATGCATGGAGAAGAAATATCGTTAACAACTGCTTTTGATCGTGTTTATCTTTCCGAACAGTAAAGCAGGGATAAATACAAACGTTTCGTAGGCCTCGACATTTTTGAAGGCAGTAGTTTGGGTCTCCGTAGCTTATGTACGTATTCTGCGCTAACTTTGAATGCGTTATGGAGGGAATTATCTGAGAAAAAGTGTGGATAGGCGTGTATATCACGTGACTCGGGACGGGCTTGCCAGTGTCTGCAGTGGCCGGCAGCTGAAATGCAAGCGCTCTCTGGTGGCTTGCGCTGCGTACTGCTTGTTATCCAATTACTTACGAACCCGATCTGCACAAATGGACGACCAAACGGTCCGTTTGTGCGTGTATTTGATCGTACGCAGAGCCAAAAAGCAAGTATGAAAATGGATGTCCTGGTATGTCCAGAAATGTTATTGAATAAGAGTGTACCTCGTTATCACCTAGGTTCTTTGCCTAAAAGACATTACTTTATAGTGGTATAGTAATTTCAGTCAGCGCTGTTGACCATTTGAGTGTCCACAACGACCAATCCCTGTACCCCTGGCCGTCCCAATCGACATAATTGGAACAAAGTACCACCACAAAAAGCATTATCGGTCCAGCGCGACCGATATATCATAACGTATTTGCAATTTGGGATTACGCTAAATGTTGCCGACATTTGCAAGCAGGAAAATTGTATTTACTGGTCTTGGGCAGGGTTCGTTGGAAAAAATGAGTGACCAAAATTTGTCGAAAAAGTGTCCCACTGGGACGACTAGGTGCAAAAAACCTGGTCATTCAGGGAGCTCCAGCGGACTGTCCAGTGGGTTGCTTTTAGTCACTCTCGCTGTGCGAAAATCCAGTGGTAATATCGGTTGCTGACATCGCACTGCAGACGGCCGGCATGGTAATTTACAGGCAGCTTGGCCTTCTCATGCCATGAACCGCGCCAGCCCCAGAATCCAAGCCTCAAGGAACAACGACAGACTCCTTACACTGCGATACAGTCGTGGTCGCAAAAGTGGAAACGTAATCGAGAAATAAGACGGATGAAAGACCAAACAACAATTACCTTCACGGTAGACAAACAATAATAATTTTATTGAAAGGGTGTAACATGGCTTAAGAAAACTTAAGGCTACAGCAAGGACCGCAAAGTGGTAAAAGAATAAAGGGAATACGTTCCGCCTCTTCATCGCTTTAGTCGAGCCTACTTGCTTAAGAGCAGAGAAACTTTGACAAATGCCAGATTTTCACCTCATGTGCTTATGGAAAAACTGCTCTAAAATAATATATAAAAATTCTAAAGCAGTATGGCACGACAAGGATTTGTTTTACTGCGTTGTCAAGGCAACAGTTTAAAGCAGCCACAAAACAGAGAAATAGTTACATGTATAACGACAAAATGATAAGTAAACGCATCGCTAACGTTGTGATGCGCCGCATAGTAGCGGAAACACTATGCCACCGTAGTTACCACATCCATTTTGTTTAAATCTTCAAGGACGAGTTTCGTTTTCTATCGCAAAATGTCCGCCGCTAATGACGAGGACGACAGAGTTGACACGAATGTGAGCTCTGAACAGGTGTTTGCGGAAGACGCTGGTTTTAGTCAGAACGAAGGCTTTTCTTCTGAAGAACAAAACTTTAACAAAGATGAGGCTTACAAGCAAGAAGACCGTTTTCAACATCCAAATTCTGGCAGGCCAATGCGGGCGATGCGGTGCGTTGCAAATTTGTTTGTTATTTCGCCTTCTGTCCGCCTTTTTTACAAGCTTTGTTTCTTCTACTTTCACGTATGTGCTCACCTCCATTGCTAGCTGTCTTTGAGACAAAAAGGTACCGGTTATTTGAACTGATGCTTCGCTGCAATACAACCATGATGGCCTATGAAATATAGGCTTATAAGAGGGAGAGAAAGGTGACTTATTTGAAATCCTTAATGCCTTGAGCAAACATCTCTTGTCAAGGTGTCAACATACGGTCACAAACAGCTGACTGTTGTGCAAAGAAGCGTATGAAGGGAGCGGATTAAAGGTGCTGCTTTGTCGGCACAAAAGTCCGTTGGGCGTCCTATGATGGTGCCACGGGTGTCCGTTTAGCGTCGTACCGGAGTCCCGACTAAACATTTGTAAGCAAAAAGGACACGTAAATGTGCAGAGAACCCGGCTTGAAATGCAGACGAGCTAGTTCACACTCAATCAGCTACGCATTCTCTGAGGCAGACATGCCAATACTCAAATCTGGTTAATAAGCCTCTACGTGACCGAGAAAAAAAACGAATTGTGAAGTGCGTGTAGTTATATTTACACGAACCACGCGCTACAAAAACACAATATTAGTGGCTAAAGTAAGAAGTATTTACCACAACGTATAAAAAGTAAATCATTTTATGCTTATTCGGAGCTCATTTATGAGATACTACCTGCTGTCAATGGGGTTCCCTTCCTGGACTCCAACGAGGAGGCTATGTTTCGATGACGGCTGTAGCGCCAGGACTAGGTAGGTGGAGCTGACAATTCACTGCTTGATCACCAATGCAACTTTGACTGGAACCTGGTTATCGTCTACTGATCAGATTAGCGTCTTACTTGTGGATTACCCAAGCCATACGGTAGGTCGATCCGTCATGTTAAATAGCTTCGGCCAAAATGCTCCTAACCGTTCATGGCAGGAAAGTTTCCGCCTTAGATGGGCGTTGTGTAATACTAAACCTTAACCTTTTTCACTTTATACAAGACGGTGCTTCGGTCATCCTGTGTTCAGGCTTGCTTAGGAAAGTACTGAAACTGGTCATCAGAATGATTGAAGACCAGCAAGAAAAGTATGTTTAGCTTGTTTAGGCTTACCATTGGGACGTCGCAGTCTAAGGGGAGACCTAATATAAAGGTTCACAATTATAGAGGGTCCCAGTGGCACTAAACTCGGGTATCATTTGAAGCTCAGGTAACAGAGGTTTAGATATATGGGCGAAAATCTTCAGTAACCGCTTAGCGCATAGAAATTTCTCTCCCATGCACTAGTGGGATGTAATATGACAAAAGCCTGGTAGAGATTCAGATATGAATTGGTTCACTCTTCAAAATCACATTAAGCTTGCTAGGTACTAATTAGTACCAAGTCTCACGTGCTCGATACGAAATGAAGGATAGTTTCATTGGGAGAGGTTGCCTCTGCCATTTTATTCCTTTAGAAGTGAGGAAGCTTGGATGTCGGAGTGCCAGAAGATCTTGCTTGCTTACCGGCACACGAAACAACGCTGGTTAGGGGAAGGCCTATTTCGTCACGGCAGACTGACCTGACCTGAATTACTCAAGGTCTATGGCTTTCCGCTTTATCACCGCCTCATATCATTCCTTGCTCGTCGGTAATCTGACACATTTTAATTATGCCAAAGTTTGTCTGGTAGCAGTTGTGGTGCCGCAAACACCTCAGACAAATATGGTTGAATTAGGCCAAATTGACGAAACTGCGGTGATAGTTGACTTGCTAAGACACCTAGACAGGCTCAGAAAACTCCTTGATCGCGTTTTCTTTGTCAAAATGGCCTCAATTCCGGCCGGTGACCGAAAATACAAGTCGTTTTCCTTGCAGCCCAGACGTCATCGGTTCAGCCTTGAGTTGGGGACGAAGCGACCCTCGCAGTATCCTTACCCTAAGTGCAACTGGTGCTGGTTGAGAAACAGAGAAGCGTCGTTACGGCGTACTGCGAGTGACTCGCTTGCATCAGATTGTCAGCCAACAGTTTACCAAGGATACGCGGTAATTTCTTGGACGCATAGGCGCTAAGGTAACAACCAGTATATTCCGATTCGAAGGTGCTTGCCACCAATGTCATCTAAGTATTAATGCAAGCAATATAAGCCACTTTTAACATGCTATGTAAAACATGGAGTAGATTTTCCAACGCTTTTCTGATCTAAAAGGACCCGGCAATACTTGAATTAGCCAAAAGGCGAGATGGTAGTGATCCAAGATTTATCGCATTCTTCTAACGTATTCTGTGAAAAGCTCTTAGTCGGTCTATGCTGCTGTACATGGACTAATCGCCTAAACAGTTAGCAGGATGCTGAAGGTGCGGAATGTCCGTGTACCATAATCGCCGCAAGGTTGCCAGTTGCCTTCCTTCGTAAGCCTTGACCACGCGGATCTACGGGCGGGGACTCGTGAACCACGAGTTGGTATGTGGTGCGTGACGTTACTTTTTGTTAAGCAGATAACGTTAGAAGAGCGAACTATTTAGGGAAATTGTGTAAAATGCTTATGGTTCGGCATAAATGAAAATGATGTTCCCGCTTGCCGACCCAAATCTGCACGTAAAAAGCTGCTTCTCGATTAGCTTTCTCTGCTAGGCATCGACGATCAGATGGAAGCGATATAGGGAGTCGATTCCATGAGTATCGCGATTTACAGCAGGTAATGTGTAAATCCAACAGAATCTACTTCTTTGTCCATGATAAATAGTGAGAGGGCTCTGGTCAGTCTGTTGTAGGCGTCCTGCTGACAGTACAGGTTTGCTGTCTTCTACATAGCCGATTCTCATAACAGTCCAGTACCCGTATGTTGCATAAAATTCGGTAGTGCGATGTGTAGTGCTGCGAGTCCGACTACGTCAACGCTGTAGCCTTCAATTTTGTGCGTGAATGTTAGGCCTCCTTTTTGGTGTGGGTTTTTTGACTAGGAGTGTATGCGCTGATCGCCGAACCTTTTTTCTGAGGATTGCTGGCCTAAGTTTTAATCCGAGGACGCGAGTTCGTGTATGCGCAGGCACTGGGGACCCCCGGCAACATTCTTAGCTTACGTGCGACTAGTGGTAGTTGCGCGACAGCCAATGCTGTACTTTGTGCTGAAGGCAGGTATTTTGACGTAGCTATATTCTATGACCGGTGAAGCACCATTCATATATGGTTGGCGGCATCCGGTTTCGGATTTGCCTGTCACTGTGGCCAGCCACAGGATGTCTGCGCCTACAGATGGACCATGGATGGCTTGCGCTGCACCACCCACAGCTCCAACCACATACCCCATATCCAGTGCAAACCCGAAGGAATAAGACCGGGAGGCATGCGGATGGGAACCACGTTTCATCAGCGGAGCCGGCCCACACTCCTTCACAGGCAAACACAAGCACATTGGATTTGGGAATCAAGCGCACACAAGGCGGTGGCTGGACCGTAGTCCGCTCCACACTGACTGCATGGAACCACTCTTTGATCCAAACACGGCCACGAGGACCGTGCACCCCGTCCCCTCCAGCAACGACCAACTGTCTCCTGGAGCCAGTATGGACGAGGTAGTGGGTAATAGACAGGTAGGCACCTTGTCAACATGCACATCAAGCGCATCCACACCGGGGATATCAAACAACAGCCAAACACTTGAAAGAGAGAAAGAAAAAGAGAAAAACTCGATTAATGCATAAGGAAATGGTGATATAAACCTTATTTAAATAGCATATGTAATAAGTTGATAACAAACAAATCCTAGCTAAGTGACGAGGTCAGAAAGTATAGTTCACGGAATGTCACGAACACAAAACTGTTATGGAAATCGAATACAATTGGCTTAGGCGATGTGTGCAAGTTAATGAAATAGAGGACAGGGAGATATTTATATGAGAAAGTAAAGCATTAAGGTAAAAACTGTAAACCCACCACCTGAAAGAAAGAGACTTAGCATGCAAGCACGCGGTTAGTAAATCGAGTTTAGCGTGCCTACAAACGCTGCGCCGGCTCGCCGTAATTATCTGCAGGACCCGTCGTCGCTTCTGTAGTGGCGCCAAATGGCCTAGCTCATGGCCCAATAGACATTTATATGAGAAAGAAAGGCATTAGGAGAGAACCGAAAACCTACCACCTGAAATAAAGAGACTTAGCATGCAAGCATGGGGTTAGTAAATCGAATTCAGCGTGCCTACAAACGCTGCACCGGTGCTGCCTACGTTCACTGCGGGACCCGTCGTCGCTTCGGCAGTGGTCCAGAGTGACCTCTCTCATGACTCATTAGGCCTGCCTGACTAAGGCACTCGCGTCCGCATGTTCTACAGCACAATGCGCTCGATGTCGATGGAGTACAATTCATTGGTGCTTGCCGCTTCCGCACTTGCCGCTTCTTCTCTGCATGCACTTCAGCCGCACTTCAGCAACTGCCTTCGTGATTAGGTCGCGCCATGCACCACGATCAACCGCTTTCGATTCCCATGATCTGCAATCATATATGCATGTATATATGTACATATATACATTTATCTATGTAACGCTCCTCTGCACGTGGTCACTAGTGTTACTTGTGTGTTAAGCATGCACATTTGGTGGCAGGTAGCTACCAAAATGCTAGTTTCGCGGCTGTCGTGTCCGTCACAAGCACGATACTGACGATAATCTCAATCGAAGAAGCGCTGTTTTGCGATGGTAGCAGAGAGGGATGGCGTACGTATATCTCTACCATTCAGGGGACTAGTTCTGACACCATAAGACACTACTCTCCTTTTGGCGATTTAACACGCATAACATTTTCTACGACTCAACTCCTCGCTCTGGTAGTCCACGTTGCCCGACGATACCAATTTGCGCTTCAGAATTCATTTCAGTTACGGAATCAGTTCGACGCGACCTGCCACTCATACAGAATTTTATAGTCCACGTACTTCTCGACATCGCGCGGGGACGAAATGACACTACGTGCTTTATCATAGGTTTGGCCTTAGTCTTGCTCTTTTCCATA